TTTCTGTTAATTCAGATTATAAATCCTTGCTGAGTTTCCATATGTAACAAATCCTACTTTAATTAAGCAGACTGTTCTTCATAACACAATGCATCATATCTTGACCAGTGAACTACCTGTGACCTCAAAACCGAGACGACTGCATCCCAAGCTGCCCGAAGGAGTGAAATCTGAATTCGAATTCCTCCTGGATCAAGCGATATTCCGTCCTTCCAAGAGTCCATGGAGTTCACCATTGCATGTCATCCCTAAGCAGGATTCCACAGTTCGTCCGGTTGGAGATTACCACAAGCTAAATTCTGTGACTGAATTTGATAGTTATCCAATTCCGTATTTTCCAGACTTTGCCTATTCACTCTACGGTAAATCCATTTTCTCAAAAGTAGACATTTTGTAAAGCATTTCAACAAATTCCTATTGCAGAAGCTGACATTTCCTAAAACAGTCATTGACAACCCCATGGGGTCTCTACGAAGTATACTCCTCTGTGTTTTCGCTTAATGAATGAACCCCAAACCTTTCATGCGCTTTATGCACGAGGTCCTAAGGGATCTCCCATTTTGTTATGTTTATCTTCGATGATTATACTATGTTTTTCAAATGATGCAGTGGAGCATAAGAAGCATGTTTAATTAATGCTATATTTCAACGACTGAGTACTTATGGTCTCAAGTGAAATGTTTCAAAATGTGTGTTTGGTGTCACTGAGCTGGAGTTTCTTGGTCACTTTATAAGCCCAAAAAGACAAAAAAAAAAAAAAAAAAAAAAAAAAAAAACCCTTTGCAAAATAAAGCCCAAGAAAACCTCGATTTTTAAGTTGCCTGAAATTATTGGTAATTTTCTTAAGTTCCTAGGCCTAATTAATTTCTGTCGTAGGTTTTTGCCTCATGCAGCAGACAACCAGGCTTTGTTAAGCGACGTTTTAAAGGGATCGTCTGGCAGGAAAAATTCAAAGAAACCAATTATTTGGACTCCACTTGCAACTGAGGCTTTTAACAAATGCAAACAAGCCCTAGCTAATGCCACGTTACTTGACCATCCTTCTCCAAATTCGCCACTTGCTTTGCATGTAGATGCATCTGATTATGCCATTGGTGATGCATCAGGTTGCGGAATCCAAACTGCAGCCCTTAGGTTTCTTCTCGAGAAGCTCAGTACACCAGAAACTCGGTACACTGCTTATGACCGGGAGCTCCTTGCTGTTTATGCATACACTCGCCATTTCAGACATATGTTGGAGGCTAAAGAGTTTGCACTCTTTACTGATAATAAGCCTCTCACATATGCTTTCCGTCAAAAGAATGGCAAGTGCTCTCCACGCCAGGTGAGGCATTTAGATTTCATCTGTATTCAGCACCTATGCAACAAAAAAGATGTGGAAGGGAGTATGCAGCAACCATGCAACGAACTTTTAATTTAAATGTTAACTGTTAGTCTTCCTCGTGCTTGTGCTGTTATCGCTAGCGTACAGGAACGCGGCATGGTATGTTTTGGTAGCATGCTCTGTTCTTTTGCTATGTAATTCAAAATTAAATAAATGTGATTAATTGAATACGTTTAGCTTATTTATGAATATGCAGAAGCAACCTGCCATACCTTCAAATAAAAATATTGAAACTTAATTTCGATTGGTTGAGGTCGCTAGGGTCCATATATCGGGGAACTTTTTTATGATCATCCTGTATTTTCTATAAGCTGCATAAATAAACCTTTAATTACAATGTGAGTTTATATTAAACAGTTAAGTCAGGTGAATTCATGTTTAATGTAATTGAAAAAATGTGTATATATCTGTTTACACAATTATTGCATGAGTAAAGTTTCAGTTATATTCATACAAAATAGAATGGTAAAGTAAACAACATTCCTTTTTCTTAACCTTCAATAATCCTTGCTGGTTCTATATAAAGCTCGGCATGTTCCCACAACTGCTTCATTCCGTTGTTTCCGATTGCGGCTCTTTATTCCTACTAAAATAACGAATGCCTTTTAAAAGTAGATGGCAGGAAAAAGAGAATAGTCTGCAAATGCCACATCTGCTGAATAAGAGGGATGCGTGAGAATTGTGATGCCTTTCGTTTGCTAAAAACGTCTTTAAGTGAATGGAATTGCGTGACAGCGAACTGTCGTGCTGCGAAAACCAGTTATTTGATTGAGCATTTTGTGGGTTAAATGAAATGAATTCGCTTCAGAAATATGTTCTTCTGCTTTTATTAAATGTTGATTTTACCAACATTTTCTTTCACTCGGAATTTTTGAAACTGCCATGATGAACCATCCGCAACCCAAGCAGACGACTGACGTTTTGTTTCAAAATTATAAGCAAAGCTCCAGTTTCCATCTCCAGTCACAATTTGCTTGAGAAAAGCAGAATTAACCCTTTCGTCGTCCTCTCCCGTGCACAACCCCCCCAGCGGGGCCGTTTGTTTTTCGTAGCGTGTAATGTTGTTTTCTCTGTACATCATAACTTTCCATACTCCTAGTGGATGAATGTCAATGAATATTAAGTCAAATTATAAGGAAATATAGCATAATGGAAAAATAATAATATCTCTGCTTATTTCTAACAGCAGTATAATTTGATAACATCTGATCCAGGCGGTCCACTCCTCCCATTTTATTGTAATCTTTTACAATTATTCATTTTTTTTACAGTTCTTTTCCGTGTTCCAACATCAATCATTGAGTTATTATGGACTGTATTCATCAAACGTATATCCTTCTTGTCTTTCCAATTCACAACCTCATTTTTTCGCTTTTTCTGCTGAGTAGACGTTGAAGCCATCTCTGACTGTCTTGTATCTTATGTAAAATGGCGCGAATATTCATAAATCCGGGGCAAATTCAATTAGAAATAGAATGCATGATTAGTGCTGCCCTCTAGGAGGTATTAGAACAAACAAAAATAAAAACTCAAACAAAGTAAACATTTAAAAAGCGTTTTAAACGTTTAAAAGTTTTAAAATATAGAAGAACGCTTGAAGCGCGTTACGGCCTGCGGCAGTTTCACTTGAACGCGCTAGATGCGTTACGGACGACGAAGAGGTTAATGCCTGTGATTTGTACCAAATCATGCCATGCAGATCATACAATCTTCTTTCATATAATCTCTTTCAGAAAGAAAATCATGCAATCTTCTTTCATACAATCTCTTTTAGAAAGAAGATCATGCAATCTTCTTTCATACAATTTCTTTTAGAAAGAAGATCATACAATCTTCTTTCATACAATCTCTTTTAGAAAGAAGATCATGCAATCTTCTTTCATACAATATCTTTTAGAAAGATCATGCAATCTTCTTTCATACAATCTCTTTTAGAAAGAAGATCATACAATCTTCTTTGTGCTCTGTGATCAATGGGTTTCTTAAAATTTTCTGTGACTGTTTCGCAAGAAGTGCCATTTCTGATGTTTAGCTCATCAACTAATGACGATTTATCTGCTACAGTTTTCGAACGTTTTTTATGTCCTCATATGTTCGAGACTCAGGAAGGCTGTTATCAACATGCCTTGCGACCATTAAGTTATCATCCGCATCAACGAAACACATGGGACTGTGTTAATGCTTGATCCTCATATGCTTAACATAATATTTTCAAAGTCTCTTTCGCTATTTTTCTCCTTTTCTCTAAAACTTTGTATTTTTTCGTCAGCTTTCGAATCCACAAGAGCAGTTCTTCACAGAATCAAAACAGATGATCATGTGAATAGAAATTTTTATCTGTAAGCTGAGGAGAATTTTAGAAATCTAAATTCAAATGGAATAACAGTTATCATTTCATAGGCTTGCTGCAATTTGCTTAAAAATTAGTTCTAAAACATTTCAGACGCATTGCATTTGCACTTTTTTTCTGATTTTTCGTGAATGGGTTTTTGAAGGGACTGAGCAACGAAATTAAATCATTATTGAGTATAACACTCCAGATTTGAAGCAACAGAATGTATTTTGGTTCGGAACTTTGAGTAATTTCAAATTCTGTCAACAGAAGAAGGATCTGAAATTTGAGCATTCAACAATAATACGAGTACACGCTTGCATAAAAAAAGGGGGTGTACTATTCAGTATCTCCCGTTCTATCTGCCCTATTAAGGGAATTTAACTTGCGTTTTGCATCTCTCGAAAATGCGATTTAGGATATATATTGGATTAGATATTTTGGGACCCCAAAGCGGACTTTTCCTGAAATAACATGCCGATTTTTTCCATATTTCGATTCTACGACTCTAGTTAAGCCAAAGTTTCAAGTTTTGTAAAAATTTTACTAGTGATTTTTTGAAAAATTGGTTCTCAAAATTTTAATTTATCATATGAATTGAAATTTGGTATATATGTATAATATAATCTTTTTTTAATTAAACTTACTTGCATCTGGAAACATTGGTGCTACACCATTCGTTTCATGAGAACTACGTGCATTAGCAATATAGTGTAAAAAAATCGAATTTTCATGCGTTCTGCTCTCGTGTGAACGCAGTTATGTTTAGACTTTTCACGTTTTTCTTGGAAAAAAAAAAGTGGCGTACGTTCAGCCATGTTCCCATAACCACGCCTGCTCCGATGGGAAATAAGAGAGGAATCAACGCATCTACTGTAATGTCACGAACTCAGAAGTGGACATTCTATTGTGCTACGAGCTTCCATCGGATTTTGGCGGGACGTTTAATATTTTGCCTTGAACAATTTTCAGACAGAGTGTTTCTAGAGTTGTTACACTTATCTCTTCATTCTTATTTTAAAGAATTCTTAATTCTTCATTCAATGTTTCCTTCTTATGTTAAAGAATGAAAAGCAAAGAATTTATTCTCGATTTTAGTTGGTAGAACAGTTATATGATAGTAATAAAGCTATTGCATTCTCTTCGTTCCATATGGCCAGAATGTACATTATACGAAAATTTATATTTTATAGCAATGAAGTCATTTATTCAGCAGATCCTTCATGCAATAATCGGTAAATTCTGATAATTAATTATAAACATACGTCGTATGACAAATGAAAATTTTTAATTAATTAATTTCTTTTAATTCACTTTTACAGTTTGCAGCTGTAATTATGACTCTAGCACTTGTGTTCCTCAACAAAACGGATTTCAGTGTATCTGTAATAAAGGATATTTGAATGTTCATGGGAAATGTGTTGGTGAGTAAAATAATATAACGTTAAATGATTGTCATAACTTGTGAATATTAAAAGGTATTTGATAGTAAAGAAATAAAAAATGTGCCTACAAAGCATTTCTTGAACTAAGTATAATTTTCAATTTATCAGATCTAAGTATAATTTTCAGTTTCATTCCAGTGTATGGTTTTCCCCATGTGTAACGTGTATACGAGCCGGTTTCCCTTAGAAAGTCCTCCACAAAGGCATCCCTCCTCTTAGGCAGATAGCCCTCGAGGCTTTGCCATAATCACACACACACATTCCAGTGTAAATCATTCAGATGCATAGAATACGGAATTCAAACATTTTTGCCAAAATAATAATATTTTAGACAAAAATGAGTATTATGTTGCAAACTAGTTATAACAAGAAGAAAAATTTTTAATATTTTCTAAAATTAGTACCAAGTAATACGTATTTATAGCTGGAAGATTCATATGTTAACCCAGCAATATAAAACTACTTTTTTTTTCATGACTGATATAAGTTCACGTAAGCTTTCTGTTGGGCGTTGTGTTATTGATTGGTACATAATTTATGATATTGTAATGAATTTAACTTCTATTTTAATAAATTTTTATAGTTTTTTTTTCTGATTATTATGGTTCAAAACAAAAATAGCAAGTTTATAAAGAAGATAACATAATTATTCTGCTACATATTTAATGGTTTTGCATTTATTAATTTTCTTGTTTCATTCGACTATATATTTTTGCTAATATAGATAATTTAAAATAAATCATTAATTTATTGTTATAAAGTTTTTATAACAATAAATTATTTCGTTTACTTATGAACTAGTGCAACAAAAATGTTTTCTATTACCACTGAAAATTTCTGTTAATTATTTTCATCGTATTCTTTTTGTTGTTATTGTGATTTATCTCACTTGTCTGACAGTAACATCAGAACAAGCACACGAAATTCATCGTGGCAAGGGCCCACCAGCGGCCGAGCGGTAAAGTCGCTGAACACTGGTAGTACGGTCCGAGGTTCGAATCCTGTGAACGGGCTGGCTGCATGGGCGTTTTCGTGGTTTTCTCCATGTGTAACGTGTATACGAGCCAGTTTCCTTAGAAAGTCCTCCACGAAGGCATCTCTCCCATTAGTCAGATAGCCCTCGAGGCTTTGCCATAATCACACACACACATCGTGGCAAGGAGTGCAAGATTGCGCTTGTCGGACTTTTCTCAGTTCCACCCCCCCCGCAGTGTTGGGCGGGGGGTGGGACTCTTCCGAGGGTTTTTCCCCCAATCCTGCGCTGCCAGCAACCTCACGAGAGGGCTTGCGGCTGACAGCATTCTCGATATCATTAAACGTTTTAAACTATTTTGAGAATAAGTATGAAATATGACTAACAAGGACATAGTTTCGAATTTTAGTAAAGAAAATTGCATAAAAATTGTGCTTTTTAATACACGTAGATCATATAAAAATTGTATTGAACATTATTAATACACATGGTAAATAGAATATATTAACAATTTATAAAATTTCAATAATTATAAAAAATTATATATTAAAAAAAACACGTTGAAAAATCTGAAAGCCTTCAGATTTTATATTACGCCCCAAAAGATAGTCGTTTTAATGTTTTGTGTGTTTGCCTTGTTTTTTAAATATCATTTGCTTCGCACTTAAACCACGTAAAACTCAATTCAACAGCAACATCACAAAATATTTAAAAACAGCATATCTTTAGAATTACCGATACAAAGTCTCCCGCGCTGGAGATAAAAATGAATATTTTCTGTAGAGTGTAGCCATTGCTCGCTTTGAAATCGCTGAGTTTGTTATAAAAATTCTTTAAAATTTTATGGACGACGCATGAGGGAGAAACGGTATCTGAAGCACTGCGTAAAAGAAAAGTTTAGTAGTAGATTTCTCATTCGGAAAGTGCTTTGTAAGGTTCGAGTTTGCTCAGAATATCGTGTTATGCCTCGAATAATAAGAAAAAAATGCTTACCAGAAAGTTTCGATATTTAATGGAGGCAGGATCGTTGCGTTATCGTTCTGTGATATCGCCCGGATACTGAAGGCCTCCAACCACTGTCATGCAAATATTGAATCGATGGATTGCTGAGGGTCATACTGAACGGCATGCAGGATCAAAACGACTAACGCCCGAGAGGACAGACATAATATGAGGTCAGCCCTGCAAGACTCGTACGGCCACTTCACGGACAATTAGTCAGGAAATGGGCATGTTTGCGGCACGCACGGGATCAGCTAGTAAGGTGCGTTGACGTTTGTAGCAGCGTGGACTATCAGCAGAGTAACCATTACTTCGGGTTCTTTTGACAATGCAGCATAGAGAGAGACGGCGACTCTGGCGTGCCAAACAACAAAGCTGGGTACAGAAGTGGCACAATATCGCCTTTTTAAATGAAACCCGGTTCTACGTGCAGTATTCTGATGGACGTATATGTGTCTGGAGTGTCCGAGGAGAGTGCACGTCGCCTGCTTGCATTCGATATCGGAATAGGGGCCCCGTACCTGGTGTGTTAGTTTGGGCAGCCACTGGGTACTCGACATGCACATATCCTAGTTCGGATCGACGGTAATTTGAACGCAGATGAGTACATTTCTGACATCTTACGTCCAGTGGTTGTGCCCTATCTTCGAGGCACCCAAACGTTATGTTCCAACAAGATAATGCAAGACGATATGTTGCACATCGTTGTTCTGACCTTCCGCGACGCTCAGGGTATTCGATTGCTGCCCTGGAATTCGAAGTCTCCAAATTTGTTACCCATTAAAAACACCTTGTAATGGCTTGATGAGAGACTGGCCCGCCACACCTCTCCAGCTAATATGGTTGATGAAGAGTGACAAATACTTGAAGCAGTATGGAATGATTTTTCTGTTTCTCTCCCCCTCAGGGGGCTCACTTTTGTGAGTACGGGTGTGGCAATCCCGAGGTACCCTAGCCCTTCAGGGGATCATCTTCTTGATGAGACGGGTGTCACGATTCCTGGAGCCCCTGTGATCTATCCTCTTTTCCGTCTCCTCTCCTCCTGGGCTTGGAATCTTTTTCCCTTCCCTTCTTTCCCTTGTGGTTTCATCTCTACGGAGTTTGGGGCTTCGTCACGAGAGGCTGGAACAGACCTTGTCTCTAGTCTTCGAGTGGCGAGGAAAACTGCCCACGTGTTTGCCGTGCGTGGAGACCCGTTGTCGCTGGAAAGGAGGGTCCTGGTAGTTGAGGGGCGAGGTACTGTCCCCAACACACTACTTTGGCCTCTATTCAGCTAAACGGGAGACACCTTAGTCGTCCTCACGGGTGTCAATCGGCTGGTCACTAGTCCTTGTGTCAGTGGCTTGGGGTCAAGCTCTCGGGAGTACCTGCTTTCGGGAAAGCCGACTGTGGGGCTTCAGTTTGCGTATAGGTCCGGCTAGCCCTAACACAGGAATCTGTGTTCCCTTGTAGGGCTCCGTGGTGGGCGGGGCCGTCGGACCCGAATCTTTATTCTTTCACTATGGCTTCTCATATCTACTTAATAAAAGATTTCGAGGTAACTCCAGTCACTCCAGTCACTCCTGTCACTCAAGTCACTCAAATCACTCCTGTCACTCAACCTAGTTCTGAAACTTCTACTCCTAAACCAGTCACTCAACCTAGTTCTGAAACATCTACTGCTAAACCAGTCATTCAACCTATTTCTGAAACGTCTACTGCTAAACAACTCACTCAACCTAGTTCTGAAAAGTCTACTGCAAAAAAATTACGTACAGATACAAATGAAAAAAATCATAACAATAGTTCCCGTTTCCTAGTCATCTCTAGTCCTTCTGGCGAAATGCATAAGATGTCTCCTTTCGTAATAACAAATACATCCAGTCCTGTATTGGTGAGCCGAGAAATATAAAGCGTCTCCGCTCCGGAGACTTGCTTATTGATACAACCTCAGCCACCCAGTCTGCTTCTTTACTTCAGATAACTAAACTTGGGCAAGCGAATGTCACTGTAACACCACATAAGTCACTCAACTATTGTCGGGGTGTAATCTCAGAGTTCGACCTTCTGTATGTTTCTGAAGAAGAGATCGCTTCTGAACTCTCCGAACAAAATGTCTGCGGTGTAAGGCGGATCAATATGCGTAAAGAAGGTAAGTTGATAGACACGAAACACATGATCCTTACCTTCAACACGCCTGATCTGCCTAAGAATATTAAGGCCGGATATCTAAATATTGCTGTAAGACCTTATATTCCAAACCCTATGCGATGTTTCCAATGCCAGCGTTTCGGCCATTCTAAGACGTCTTGTCGTGGCAACCTCACATGGGCCCGATGCTCACAGATTGGCCACGATTCTGAAAATTGTACCGCTGCGCCCTCTTTGTATAAATTGCAATGGTGAGCACCCAGCAATTTTCACGCCTCTGCCCAAAATGGAAATTAGGAAAAAGAAGTGCAGACTGCAAAGGTTACGAGGAACATCTCATACATGCCGAAGCCAGAAGGTTAGTCAGAGCACACAGCTTCGACCGAATACATCTTATGCCAGTGCTCTTGAAATCATCTCGTACAGCTGCCACCCAAACATCAGTTAGGTACGCAGACCTACCAATAAAACCCAACCGTCTCAATCAGATTACAAAAAAAAGGAAAATGCAACCCATATAGTACAAAAAAAAAAAAGAAAGAAACAGTTTATTCAAAGTAAGCCGAAAACTAGTACACATAAAATATCCAATAAAAATAGAAGTCACAGCAATAGCTCTTTTGATGAGATGATTTCTGAATCTGCGGATTCAGACTTTATGGAAGTAGAAGAGGGTCTAGAAGTTCCCAGGCATCTACTTCCACGAAAAACAAAAGAACAGCACAGAAAAAACAAAAACCATTCATAATGGCCACCCTCATGTCATGGAACTGTCGCGGTTTCCACCGAAATTTGCTCGACATCAAAGCCATAATTAATGCTTATCATCCTGTATGCTTCGCAATACAGGAAACAAATCTAAAACCAGAACAAC